GTTTCTATACTATAAAATAAGAGATGAGTGCCCGGAAAATGTTTTATCTCTAACCACAACCTCTCTATGAGACATAACATTTAAAAATATTGCCTCATCAATTATCCCCAGTTGCTTTTGATAAAATAGATTTCTATGACAGATTTCTGTTAGAATTCACTAAACCATTATGGGCTGATTCATTATGGGCACAAGAATAAATACAGATGCCTGCTATTGATCCCACTTCATTTCCACCTAGAAACATAATCATACCAGGTAACATTTACAGAGTATTTACCACTTACCAGCCAGTGTGTTAATGGCTCCTTTTGAAAAATCCTGGACAATGCTCATATTTTATGCACAAGCTTCATTATACTCGCATATATAAATTTAATACTGTACATATAAGGTATGATTGAAAAATACGCCGAATGTTTAATGTAAAAAGTATTTAGCACAGTAAAAGGCAAATTACCATATATCACCTCAAAATACTTCCCCCAAATTCAAACAGACTTATGTCATCACTCTTGCCACTTTCCTAAACAGCTTTGGCAATCTTTTGTGCCTTTGGCTGCATTGTCATGGTTGCTTTGATGTCCTGAATTGATTCAAAGTGTTTACCTTTCTGTCATTTTAGCTTCGGAGAACAGCCAGAAGTCACATATTACCAGAGCTGGTGAATAAGGTGGATGAAGACAAATGTAATTTTTTATAAGCCATGCTTTTTCTTTAGGTGACATTCAATAACAGCGTACTTTTTGTCTTCATCACACCTCATAAAGACACTCAGAAAGAAGACTTCTAGAAATTCTTAAGAAGATTTTTAGGAAAGTTAATATTTTACATCAGTGATGAGGGTGACCTAAATTAGAACAGGGCCTATGTTGGAAAACTGAGCTTAGTGAGGAAGTTGATATTCAGACTAAGTTTGGTCACATACTAGGTCTGTGGCTTTGCACAAGTCACTTAGCCTGTCTGAGCCTCCTTTGTATATCAGAAGATTACATTGATGAATGTCATAATTTTATGCAACATTCATATCTCTAAGTAACATTTTATATATTAGATTCTAAGATTGCAGGCCCAATAGTGGCGATCATCTATCTCACTGTTCATCTTTTCATTTAACAAAAATATGTATAAATAATTGTCAGGCACAGGATAAATTATTCCAGCTACAGCTGTTGAAGAACCTACATTCTCTTCAACACATAGAAAGATACTAAGAAATTATGTATGGAAATAATTTTTCCTTATCTATCTTGACAGATAATTGTAGCTAGCAAGGACAAAGAGATCTTCAGTTCGACAAATCAATTTGCCATTAAAAGTACACTTTAAAAAAATAAAAGTACACTTTTAACAGTCTCTGTGTAAGCTTTAGTACCTGCTACCAATTTGTTGTTTTGCAAGTGGGATAATTACAAATTGAAGTCTAAGAAAATATGATGGCTTCAATCAAGCTGATTGCAATAGAAATGTAGAGAATTAGTGAGAGATATATTTTAGTGTCCTAGTTTAGGCCTAAAATATCCCCCTTAAGTCTCATGTATTCAGATATGTGGGTTTTGGAGTGATTAGATCATGGGGTGTTATATTCATCAGTGGATTAATCCATTGATGATCTCTTGGCTGAACATGCCATTAGGTGGTAGGACCTAGTTGGAAGTAGATCATTGCATGTATGACCCGGGAAGCTGTATCAACCTCCTTGGTTTCCCTCTTCTCAATCTGCTTCCTGACAAGCATGATCTAAGCAAGCTTCCTCCAGGCACCTCCCAACACACTATTTCTGCTTTGGCACCAGCCTACCATGGATTGAACTCACTAAAAAACTGTGAGCCAAAAATAAACCTTTTCTCCTTTAAGTTGTGGGTTATAGGGTATTTTGTACCAGCAATAGAAAAGTGACTAAAACATTTAGAAATACAATTGAGATAATTTCAGAATGAGATGATTTCTGATTTGTGTGAGTAGACACTTTTAAATGACATTTTTTGAAATAAAAAAGAGATAAAAAGTTCAGTTTGGATTATGTTGTTTGAAATGTCTGCTAAATACATAGTTTGAAGCTGAAAAGGAAAGGAAAGGCTGCATTGTAAGCTTTGGGAATGTGTGAATGTGTAGTGGTATATAAAGGTAGGGAGATTAATGAGATTAACTTGGGAGAGAAAAAAGACAGAAAGGAAGGAAGGATGGAGGGAAGGTAAGAGGGAGAGGAGAAAAGGAAGTGAATAAAAGGAAAGCATGAGTACAAAATAATGCTTTTTCTATAAATTGAAAAATCTATTCATATTCAGTATTCAATCACTGAGAATGAACAACTGTTTAGATAAACTAAAATAATTAACTGATAACACTGACTGAATATAATGTTGATTTAAGCCTTATTCTTCAATGTACGATATAACATTTAGATGGTCTGTTCATGGAAATGAGTGCAGTTTTCTACATATACAGTGTTAAATTATAAGAGTACCTTTAAAGTACTCTGGCATGTGTATTAAAGGTCATTAATGCATTTCTCAGGAAATTGAAGTCATTTGGTCTTCAATGTTTCATGACTTATAGTTCACTTGGGGTTTAGAATAATTTCATTTTTAATCCTATTTTTGGTTTATCTATTTTTACAACTCATTTAATTGAGCCAACTTTTCATGAAGGAAATGATATTGAAAAGTGCAGACTTGCAAAAACTTTAAAATTTATTTATATAAATAAGATTAATAATATTACCTTTGATAAGCTTTTCAGTGACTTTATATATTAGAATTTATATATCAGGGGGAAAAAAAGAATGAGTCCTGAGTACTTGCTATTACAGGTAGGAACCCATGTTCTCACATAAATAACTTTGATGCTAATGATCCTGATTTGATTAATACACACTGATTTCATCTGTCAAAATATCATGACAAAACCCTTTAATATGTACAATTGATACATATTAATAACAATAAAATAAGCTAAGAATTTTGAAAGAAGGAATAAAAAGGATGATCAAAATTTGGCTGTTACAACAATTTGGCCATTTCTCATAATACTATACATTTAAAAAGAAATGTTCGCCAGAATTCCAGAGATCACCATAATTGCTTTTCTCCCACCTGAAAGAAATTGTATGCTATAAAGCATTTTTTCCATGTGTTCTCTGCATCTATTTATTCCCTTCTGTTTCTATGAGCCCTTCCTCACTTCATGTAACTCGTCCTCATTTTCCTGGTCTCCCTTCTGCATTCCTGCATAAATTGATCACATCATACAGGTGCTTAAAATGCTTCAATGGTGTCTCATTTTAATTTTAATAAAACATAGATTCCATATCATGATCAACAATGTCCTTTGTCATCCAGCTTTTGTTACAGGTCTGACTCATCTTCAGTTTTTCCATGTGAAAAGCCACTACCCACCTTGACTTCCTGTTCAAACCACAAGCTGCTAAATTCCTTATCATATGAAAGCCTTCACTTGAAATACACTTCAAGTAATCTTTCAAGTAACTTCTAGCTCATGAAGGAGTTCTCTATCCAAGTGAGCCTCTTGAGAGATCTTCTCTGAGTACTCAAATCCTATTCCCATCTCACTCTCCAGTGTGTATGTGTGTGTGTGTGTGTGTGTGTGTGCGCGCATGTGTGCAATATGTGGGATTGAACCTAGGCCCGTTGTACTGAGCCACATCACCAACCCTTTTTAAATTTTGCGAAGAGGTGTCTCTGAATCACTAAATTGGCAGAGTTGGTCTCAGATTTATGATCCTCCTGCCTTAGCCTCCCAGAGTGCTGAGATTGGAGGAGTGCCCTACTATGCCTGGCTCTCACTCTGCATCTTAATAACACATTCAACTTGGATAATTATTTTATTCTCTTTCTTTTTTTGGTACCAGGGATTGAACTCTGGTTCCTGTGCTTGTGAGGCAGGTGGCAAAACCACCTAGCCAAATCCCTGGCAACAACTTGGATAATTCTTAAAATTACCTTGGATAATAATGTAAGATTAGACTCAGTTTGCTAGGCTTCAAACATCAGTTTTATTGGGTAGCTGAGGACTTTGGGTGACTTACTTAATCTCTATTTCTTTTTCTGTACAATACGATAATAAGACCTAATAAGAGTTTTATAAAAATTAAATGCCTTAAACCTGAGGTTTGTAAAACAATGGCCAGCTAGTCCTTGTAATTAGTTGTAGATGTAGTTTAATCGATAATAAAATATGTCTGCAAATGTAGGCCTGTTTGGTTTGTCCATTTCTGGAAGCATCAACAACACTGTCTTATATTCAATAGCAGGTAGGTCCTCAATAAATTTGTGACCCACTGTGACTTGCGCAGTGACCTAGACAGGGCAGCTCTGATTTAAAAAAAAAAAAATCAAATGTTTTAAGTACGTGGGAAAAAGTACTTTGACATTTTGCCCTTGCCAAATGCCAGATAATCTGCCTTTGAACAGAAAATTCCAGCTACTGGGGATTTGGGTATGTGGAAATTTTCAAGTAACTAGAAATTAATATGAAGCAGGGGGCACCGGACGTCCAGCCGTAGGTTCGATATTAGGTACAAAAACATCAGACCCTGATAAAATTCGGAATATTAGTCGGGATAACTGAGTCAGAATTCTGCTGGCGGTGACAGTGATGTAGACAGAAGCAACTCACATCGCTTCCTGGTTGGGGATAAGTTAAAAAGCTCCCAATGGTTAGCTTAAAAGTAGGGTTGGACTAAAAATGAGATAGAACTTGCCCTGCGTGCCTATCTTGACCTCTGCTGGAGAAGTAACAAGGAGGAAAAAAATCAGAGGCAGAAGCTAAATAATCTTTTAAAGGTTGTTCATATACATCAAATGCTTACGATTTGGTAAAACTGGTAAGAACCCTGTGACCATTAAATCAGATAATATGCTTGATTGGCTCCAGACCTGCCTAAGGGATTAGTAACTCACACTCCTGGGTACTTCTGGGTGGGTCACGATGGTAGGATCCTGACTAGTATTTGTGGCCCCTGGCCTTTTCCTCTCCAGTGCCCTGCTGTTTTATAGATGCCATAAACTGAGCAGTTTTGCTTTGAAGCCAGCTGAACACGGACTGAAATCTCTAAAATCGTGATTGGAATTACACCTTTCCTCCTTTAAGGTATGGGAGTCAGGAATTTTGTACTGCCATTGGGAAGGGTGAACAACACTCCATTTTCATTTTGGTGCTAAGATCTTCATATTAAGATCGTATACCATATATTGATTTTTTGTACCGCATATTATTAGGAAGTCTTATCTGGGTTGAACACCACAGAAGAGGAGAAAATATTGAGGCCCTTACTTTCCACTGCTTGCCTCAAAGTTTAATGAACATGTATAGAAGGAAACTGAAACTTAATCTACTTTTTTTCCACATCAAATTTATGTGTGTGCACCATCTATTGTGTTTTAAACTATAAAAAGTGTTATAAGATACTGTACTTGGCTTTTGGTGGGCTTTTTTTTTTTGGCTGTAGCATCTGTTCAGAGTGTCCATGTACAAATTTAGAAAACTATAAATATAACCACCTCGTCATCTTTTCACGAACTGATTTGCTTTGTATTTCCAAAATAAAGCTACACTAGTTGGAGGATCTTTCCAGGGGAAATATATAGAGGTATGTATCAGATTCATATGATTCTTCTGAAATACTTGATGTTTAAATAAAATATGAAGCGAGGTTATGCAAGAATTCTAGTACCATTATTCATATTACATAAAGCTTTTCATGTTATGAAAACTTAGGATTTCTCCAGTGAAATTATTCTCTATGTTTTATAATAACATTTTTACGGACTGAGAAAGTTGTACTATTAAATATTCAGTTCTATAAATTATAAAGTGTTAAAAGATTTATTACTCATTTCTGATTTTAGTTTAAATGATTCATAGCTACTTTCATACACATAGCTAATGAAAAATCTTGATTATTAAACCAGATATATGAATTACTGTATCTAATTTTAGAAAAGCTGTCTGTATTTTTACTGAACTGAGCAAATTTGATATATTTAACAATTGTTCCTTGAACATTTCTGATTAATGAGGCTCTTACAGTTAAGGCTGCTTATGTAATTTAATTTGGCATTCATCATAGGTAGAATCCCATAGAAGATTATAATTATATGAATTGCTCCTAGTAGCTTCTAAGTCTACTTTAAAAAAAAAGGTAATAAGGGAAAAGAAAAAAAAATGAGAAAATGAAAAAATGGAAATAAAGTGTTTGTAAATAGGGAAAGGAGAGGGTGAAGGGAGGGCAGGGGTAAGGGGAAAAAATGGGAACCAAGACCTGTCATGTAAAGGTACGAGATGCCAATGATGAAGGTAACTGTACTGTATTCCTACAATGTACCAATAAACTCAATGAGGAAAAAAAAGGTTTTCAAAGAAAAAAGATTGAAATGTTGAGTTGAATAATATTTCATGTGAAAAGTCTCTATTCTGTTTTCTCATTTTTATCTAGATATCCGGATCACCTTTTTAATATCACGCCCTTATCCCTTTCTCTTCTCACAATATTCTTGATCTGGTGCTCCTGGCCTTAAGCTCCAAGAGAAGGCCATGCATTTCTCTTCACTACTAAAATTGAGGACAAACTATGCAGAGTGTGTAGAAGAGAGAAGAAAGAGCCTTTCTTTCTCTAACTCGGCCAGGAGCCCAGGGGTAGTATCCTGGGAAAATAAGAAAAAAAACCCCAAACATTTATTAGAAATTTCTAAATAGAACTAGGGAATAGGTTTATGTGCTTTGTTTTATTTTGTGGAGCAGACAGGCTGTTTAGTAAGTTTTAAATCTCTGGGAAAATCAAACTCAAATAGAATTATTATTATAACCAGCTATTACATTGAGGGAAAACTTCACATACATGTATCAGAACATTTCTCTTGAACTACTAACAATAAAATATTTGGTAAAGAATGTTAGTTCTTTCAGATTAAAGTCAATACAGTTAAAGTTACCCTCTGGAGATGTGAAACCTCAAAAAATGTAGTTGAAGATAACATATTTTGTTAATGACTTTCTAACATATATTTCCATATGCTTTCCACAATATTTAACTTAACTTTCAAAGAAGACCTCATTCTCTGATAGAATACAGCCATAATCACAGTGTCAGTTAATCTTTGTGAATGTTTCAAGGTTTTATTGACTTGTGAATTTAGTAAAAAGTAATCTTGTTTTTTCTCAGGATGTCAAGCCTGGGGCAATTTGAGACTGACTTTTACCAGTCTAATTATGTTATTGGTAACCAGGAGCAGAGCTGTATTGATGCCAGTGCCTGTGGAGATCTTTACAGATCTGGAGAGTAAGTGTTTTATATTGAGCTAATATGCTCTCATTTGAGAACTGTTAACCTTATTGTAAAGGATTCTATGTAGAGAGGTTTCCTTGGGAGAAGACAAAGTTCTCCATAGTATGCCACTAAGATATATCTCAGTAAAGTCCCTTAAAAAATTACAAGAAAGGAAAGAGAAATCAATTCAGTTCTAGGTAGGAGTCATTTGCAACTTGCCAGGTAAGTGTCTTATCTATTCTTTTCAAAATAAAACTCAACAGGGATCCCAAGTACAAGCACTAGGTAAGTAGAAGGTATTTTCTTTCAACTTAATTTTCTTAGTTACCTTTCTTTCCTTGCTGAGAGAAAATACCTGATGCTCAAAGTTAAAGGAGGAAGTCTGGCTCACAGTTTGTAGAGGTTTCAGTCCATAGCTGGCTGGCTCAAAGATAGGGTGGCAGGAGGGCAACTGTTCATGGTGGCAGAAGACAGCAAAACCAACCAGGGAAACTTAAAGGCATCTTTCTTCCCCTTTTGTCTTCTCCAGACAAAGGGGATTAGGGTGGTGCCAAACCAATCAGTGGACTTGTAACCCCAAGTCCTTAATCCTAGCGTCACACACTCTAGATTCCGCCATCTCTGAGACAGCCACCTACGACCACATAAGGCCTTAGGAGGGGGCATCTAAACACAAGCTGCAACACTTAATTTTTTTCAGGACATTGCTTGAGAGTCAGATTTCATCAAATTTGATAGGTATTTTTTGAGTGTCTGTTTTGTGTCATAAATTACGGACAGTTCAAACCCAAAGCTAAGGGTGAAGCCCAGTCTTTTCCATCACAAAATTTAAGATTTTATTGTGGAGAGTTTAAAAATTAAATATGTATTTAAATTATACAGGCAATATGAAAAGTATGCTAGAAAATCAACACACTTATATTTCAAAAGATATTATTTTCAATGAAAATTCACTTGAATAAAAAACAAAATGCTTAAAGAGTGTAGTACATATCTATTTAATATTTGGTGGCAAAACAATGTATTTAAGGTAAAGAGACTTTGGTTAAAGTTCTGGCTCTTGTATTGCTTGCATTATGACATTGGGAAGATATGTTTTTTCTCCTCATCTGAAATATAAAGCTATTAGGAATACCCAGTTCATGGAATTATCATAAAGAACAATTGTGATAATGTGTAGAAAAGTGTATATTCATGAAATCCATGATTTAAATATGGCTTACAAAAGCAATTGACACTTTGTTGCCTGAAGTCATTTAACATTACTGTACTTGGTTACATAATTGATTTTTGGCCTGTTTTTTTGTGGGTCTAGGTTAGTGGATTGGAAGAAGGGTCAGAACAACTCTGGTAGTGACTAATACTCATTGATCTCGTTACGTATAGAAACTGTTTGAGCTATATAAATTAACTCACTGGATCCTCTCCCTTATGACATGAGTCTTGCTTTATTCTCATTTTACAACTGAGAGTCCAGCCACCCAGAGAATTGAGAAACTTTCTCAAGATCTATAGATAAGAAACGGGGTTAAGATTTTAGTCCAAGATTTCTTGATTAGGCCCAGAATGAAGATGGGCATATGATTTGTAAAATAAAGACATTTTAGTTTATAATGTGTATTATTGCTAATAATGCTGGAGTAGTAGGGATAGGCAGGATCATTGAACACGAAGTAGGAGGTCTAGTTTCTGTACCATTCTAACAAATGTAGGCCTAATGAACTTGTAACAAATATTTCAAATGTATTAATTCTTGAAGGTTATTGTTAAACTTAGAAAAATTACCTTGAAGCTTTTAAAGCTCCAGGTAGAAAGAATACAAGACTTCAGTGGGGCAGGGGGTCGTGCTTCAACTCTGCCCAGGGAAATGTGGACTTGTTTCTCCAGCTGCTCCCTCTTCCAAACAGAAGCCTGAAGAGGCTGTTTTCGCAAGCTTCCTGGTTGCTCTTGCTGAACCATCGTCTAAGGGACAGGGAGAAGGTATTAGTACATAATCTTGGTACAAATGGTAAGGTTAAATATCTGGAGTTTTGACTCCTTCAGATCCCTCTTGTGTCCCTGTTGTGTCAAATCCTATCAGTGAGTTTGCCTTTTATAATTTATACTTTGGAAGATAAAGAAGCAATGGAAATATTCTGGGGTAGAGACTAGTATGAGTTTAATATATTCCAGGATGGTCAGTCTAAGAGTATAACCTACACTGGGAACTATTTTGTAGGCTTTTCCATGTTTGTTTTCCTGTTTTACAGAAAGGAACCAGTTGCCCTGAAATGTCTATTTCTTTTATTCATTCTCTGAAAGAAGTATACCTATACTAGGAATATTAGTGTGTGTGTGTGTGTGTGTGTGTGTGTGTGTGTAATTGCAGCCTTGTTTTTCATGATATGATGTTAAGAATGAACTCACTGCCTACATTCCCTCAGGGTTAGACTGAAGAGGGAAAGAAACACCAGTTGACCATCAGCATAAAAGTCCAAATATATCATATTAGAAAAAATGAACACTTTAATAAAATATATAGTTAATTATTAATTGCTATGTGGCAAGGTACAGAAAACTAAATACATCTCCAAGCAGAAATATAACCAAGAAATATAACAATGACTGTCTATATATCACTGGATGACAAATGTTCAGTCCTGCTGAACATTTTAAAAAACTTCCAGCAACCATGCCTTACTTACCTTAATACAGTAGTGTATAGAAAAGATAAGCCTCTAGAAGCTAGTGGCTTTTACAGAAAGAGGAGGTGTTTGCTGACAAAAGTAAAATTTAAATTTTTCCAGTCAGAGTACAGTTCTTTTAGTCTAATTCAGTTGACATTTATCTCTCTGTACTAATAGGCTGAATTAGAAATCATCACAATTTCAATATTTACCTCTTCATAGAACTAATAGAGATTTTGTGCGATCCAAAAGAAAATATTTTGTTCTACAAAATTTTCATTGCTGGTATAGATATGCAACATTAACATGTTAAATATTGAGTATATTAATCTGACTTCTGATGGTGCCTCTAATATGCTAACCATTCAGTATTCTATATAGTTTTAATAAAGCAAGTTGTAAAAAGTGTGCAATTCTATTTTCCTTGTAATTTTTTTCAAGAAAAGAAATAGTTTGAAATATGTTACTAAGAACACAGTGTGATCAACAAATACAGTGAACATTTACATTTTTAAAAATTACTACAGTGAAAGACACATTGCCATTACTCCCCACTCAAAATACTCTTCATCCTTTTGAACACACTGAAGCCACCATCCTTGCTACTTTCTGAAGAAGTTCTCGAGATTCCCTTATTAAGCATCTTTAGTTGAGGTGTCATAGTTGCTTTGTATCCATTCAAACCATTTATCTCTCATGGTCTTTTTGACTTTGCAGAAAAGTCAGAAGTTGCAAGGTGCCAGATCTAGTGAATGAGATGGGTGAGTACATACCACAGTGTTTTACAGCCTGTCTTTTCATTGGATGGCACTCAACAACAGCATTCACTTTAGTTTTGATCATGCATGACAAAGACACTCATGAAACAGAACTTCCAGAACTGCTTCAGAAGGTAGCAGTCATGATAGGATAAGTGTATTCAGAGTGACGGGTACCACTCAGAGGGATTAATGGCAAGTGTCTTTTACTGTAAAAGGAATTTCACTTAAGCATTCACTGTAGTTTTGGACAACCCCTTGTATTAAGGGACTCTTTGGCACTGCTGTTCTAAGTGGTGCTGTCTGTTAAAAAGGAAAATACCAGAAGATATGGGAGTGAGTAAACAAACGAATGTGCTTAAAAATATGGTTGCTTATAACAATTTCAGGGAAAAGACCTAAAACATAAGAATTAGATTATGAGTATTTAGAGAGTTTTCTAGGTGGGACTTTAGACCAATAATGAGATTATTTTGGCACTGTTTGGGTGGTGTTCTTTAAGATGTAATAGTAAATATTATAGCCAGTGCATACAAACTTGAAGTAGTAAGAGAGATAATTTAAATTTAGATAGTCATTGAAGTCAAGATTAGTAAGTTTATAAATTAAAAAATTTGAGGCTTGCTTCATAGAGACATTTTAAAAATTTGCTTTCTTAAATGGAGGGGAAATTTATAATTATATCCTTATAATAAGTCAGTAGAAACCAAGCCCTTGTTGGAGAAGTTATACTAGATGGAGGAGCAAAGAGGAATGGAGGAAATATTTTTAATGCATTTCTCTCCTGTGATGTGAGACTGATGCAGAGTACATATGAAGTCTCGTCATTCACCAAAGTTGCTTTGCAAGCAATAATTGTGATAGTTACACTTTTTAAAGCCTGGTTAGCTGCACCTGTGCAAGATTTATGATAATACTAGGCAAGTATATCAAGGAAAATCTTATTTAGACCCGGGTCCCTTGAGTCATCTTTATGTACCCCTTATTTTTCTAGCAAGACATGTATTTAAAAATACATATTTGGAGAATTTTACAAAGTATGAAGACATTTAGAATCTTAGTTATATTTGGTTTCTACTGTTGCCTTTGATATTGTACTGTTGTGCCCAGATCGCGATGTCCCCAAAGACCATCAAGGAGTCGAGTTCGATGTAAAATACACGAGTTTATTACAAGCTCAAGCCTGGACTCTTGGACTTCACCGGTGCAGCGGTTCAGTGACAAGAGCTCCGACCCTCTTTTAAAGCCCATTTTTATAGGGTTATGGGAGGCTTGAAATTCTCCCTTTTTCATTGTTTATATTTTATACCTTAAATCTATTGGATGTTGCTGGGGAACTTGCGAAAGCGGGCAGGCAAAACCGGGAAGGGGCTCGAATCTAAGGGGAGGCAGTTTCCGTGGAAGGTCAGTGTGTTCCTCTACCCCTTCCTCTAATCTGTACATTTTGTTTTTCTTCTCTCTTGAAAGGTTATGTTTTCCTTTCCCACCCATCTGGTTCTGTTTCTATCTAGGCTAAGCAAATTTCTGCGGCCTGAGCTCATCCAGGAGTCGGGCTTGACGCAAGATGGCTTTCTATCTTAAAATGGAGTAACTTTGGTCTCTACAGTACCAATTTTGAAAAAAAACAAAAACAAAAACACAACAAAAAAAGCAAGATTAGGAGTGTGCCATATGGCTAAATGAACAACTATGGTAATCAGTATGTGTTCTGAGGGATTCAGGAAGCACACCTGGTCGCAAACCTTGATGAACGCTATGGTTCAGTTGGTGAATGATTGAGTGCACGTGTCTCTGCCTACTATATCTGTGGAGTAATTCGCCAAAATAAGTTATGTTCTTGGCAAATTTACAGACGTAGTAAAGGTTGAATATGTTATTCTCAGACTTCAGATTATGATTAATGTTCAAAAAAACCATTAAAAGCCATTTTTAAAACAGATTAGCCCAAGTAGTCGCAGGGATTTCCCAAGTTCAGAATGTTGCACTATATCTTTAGCTTAGGTTAAACGTCACTGGTAGAAAAAAACAAAACAAAACAAACAAACAAACATGGTGGGCTATTTTTTGCTTCTTCTTCCTTTGGGTAAAAGTGTGTATCATGAACAAATAACCTGATGCTCTCCCTTTCCCCTTTCTTCCCTTTTCTACCTCTAGTAAAGTGTAATTTACAAATACCAATACGTTTCCAACTTTCTCACACAAATGGCAACACCAAGAGCAAAAACACAGTCAAGGAAGTATGGAAACATCATGTTTTAGCAAAACTAAATCACACATTTCAAAAGAGAGATTCTAAAGCTAGCAGTATAACACCTTTAACTGGATACTCAAGGATATTTCATTTGTGCTACTTGGGAATGGCCCGAACTGGAGAGTGCATTTCTTGATGGACAGCGGTAAATTTATGCACTTATTTTTTTCCCTTTGAATTGGCTCTACTGGTAGGTTTATTTTTACTTGCTGTCTCTCCCAGCTGTATGGGGCAACACAATTGGTGATCGTCCATGAACATCAGTGACAGAGCTGTAACGTATAGGGCCTGGTTGCACAGAGAGCCTCCATCCAGATCCATGGCAGTGTCATAACGCAATGCTCGACAAGTTGTTTAGTGTCCACAAGCCTCTGTTTCTTCCCTGTGAAGTGGGATTAAAAACACAGCTTTGACCTTACAGAGTTCTAAATGGAAAATATGAGGGGCAGTGCTCAGGATATCATACATGCTCAGTTGTATTGGTTGGTATACAGCATTCTTCTGGAAACCTTTTCATGACTTGTTGTTTTATTGATTTTTATTTTTTTGGAATAAAACTAAATTTTAAGTAGGCTATTTCTTGCTTGGATAACTATCCATTAAAAACTAAGTAAAATCTTATTAGGAAAATTACAGCTTCCTCTCTTGATTTGTCAGCATATTCCTTTATTCAATGTGTAAATATCCGCATTTTTTTTTCCTAGACAACAAGCCGGTGGGCAGCATCAGCCCACCCCGCTTACTCCTCCGGAGATGCTCACATCAGCAACTCACTCAGGACAACTTTTTCAGCCAGCATCCAACTCAGATTATTATTCACAGTCTCCTTACATTGACAGTTTTGATGAAGAGCCTCCTTTGCTAGAAGATAAGTTAAGGAAGTGTTATTAATGTGTGTGTAGCTGAAGGAATAATAGTAATAACCAACACAATGTGTGCTGTCAGCATGCCATGTACGAAGTTTTATGTGTGTTTGTCCCACATATTGCAAGAGTCTCCATCACCAAGACATGCAAACTATGGGAAGTTTGTTATGAGTTACATGGAGAAACTTAGACATAGATATGTGCTATGTTGCAGTTATTAGATGTTTCTTCAGTGTTTCTTAAATTTGGACTCCTTGGCCATATACAGACAATAATAAATACATCTTTTCACACATTGGTTAAATTAAGGCAACTATCCTTCCCACCCCAGATAATGAGACACTTTATAAGAACATATTTTATTTTCTGCTCTCCTTGCTGGGAGCAAAGGAGATAGTTTCTCAAATTAATATTTGTTGTTGTTGATATGGAGATGAGCCAGGATTTTTCTTCTCTGAATGACATGAGTCCTCACTTCAGCGGGGGTGGATGGGTGGAGAAGAACATGGTTCTTTTAAATAACATTCTGTCTGGAAGGAAACCTAGAACTTTTGGAGTTTAAACTCTATAGGGGATTTCAACAATGTTTTAATAACTGCTGTTTAAAAAAAACACACCATATTTTATCTGCTTGTTTTGCTTTTAAAAGAATGTCAACATAAGTTTAGAAAGATACTGCCTAACTACTAAAAATCAAGTAGATTTTAACTTGGGAGCCAAGCATTGCCAAACTGCACCAAGTCCTTTATATGCGCAAGTCCTTTATATGTGCAAGTCCTTCATATGTAGATAAGTGGAAAAGAATAAATTAAATTTTTCAGTAGTCCACACCTAGATACTGTTGTTTGCCTCTTATGAATACAACCAGCCACCTAGAATTAATATATTCTTTTTTTGCCTAGAAACTATAAAATAGTGTACGACTTAAAGTCTCACTTTTACTCTGTAGAGTGTGAACAGCCAAAAGGCCTTCACGATGCTGAGCCCTAAAGCTTGGGGAGGCTCCAAGAGCTTGTCGGACAGCGAGAGTCACCCAGGAAGGGAAACACCAGGCTATTACCTTTATTAGTCTGGCCAGACAGCACTCCCAGAGCTAAGTAGCTCAGAGAGGCAACTAGCTCAGAATCAGAGGCTATTTTTTATATAGGGCTATGGGGGGAGTTTACACTTGAAACTTAGAAGAAGGGGACAAAGTCAAGTGGTCATCAATCATGTACTCTACTGTTACGTACTAATGATCAGCAGATTGATTATCCATTGTTTTATAGATTGTGTTGTTCAGAACATTCAGTTACGGGCAAACAAGGAGTGGAGTGATTTACTTTGGGTCTCTATGTTTGTTACAGATTCTATCTAGTTTCCCAGCTACTCCCAAGCAGTTACCTAGTAATTCACAATTCATCATTGCTTATCCTATAAGGGGAGGGGGAACAACAGTCTCTGGGTCATTTGCTGGTCAACATGGAGTTGCTCTAGTTCAGTAAGGCTCTTACATTAGTGAGATAACTAAGACACTCAGAAAAGCATTGAAAATATAAGATATATCTGGTTCATTAGAAACCAATTACATTTTAGGGCCCATTGTGTTTAAGCAGCTCATATTTTTCACGCTGCAATTAATACTCACCTGCAAGTTATGAGCTGTTCTTAGTCAATGCTTTTCTTGACATCACCATCTTTGCTTCAACCGTCCCTTGTCAAATTGTATTCAGTATATACTTTGACAAATATAAAATTATTTTAAATCTTGTCTTTAAGTTATGACTACTATTAAAAATTTTATGTATGCCCTTCCAGGCTTTTTTCTTATTTCTCAATGAATGTTTTACAGATAGACAGAGATATATAGATATAGGTGTACAAGAACTTTATTTTTAAATTTTATTTTATTCATACATGTTTTCTGTGCATGACATTTACATTCATCTTGGAAAGTAGGTACACACACACACACACACATATATATATATATGTATATATAAAATGTATCTTGATTATTTTTATACCTCTTCCTCTCCCTCTGTCTCCAGGACCCCTTTCACCATGTTCATGGCTGTTGTTGTTATTTTTACTTCATGGTTGCACATATATTTACATTCCTTTTGAGTATTTGATACCTGTACATGACACATCTTACAAGTTTTTATGTCCCTTTTGCCCTTTTGTCTCTCGGACCTCTTTACATTTGCAAAAGATCTATCTCCCTGTTACCTTTTATCAGTCTTTGCTTTTGCTCTTTATTTGTATTTTGCATTACTCAAATGAGAGTGTTTAAGCTTGGTACTTAAGCTTGCATGTCTAATTTATTTCACTTTATGTTTTCCAGGTGTGTCTACTTTCCTATAAATGTCTTGAATTTATCTTTCTTTATAGCTGAGTAGTCTTCCTTTATGTATAGGTAGATTTTTCTCACAAATACTTTAAAATTACTATTTTTCAATTAATGTATTTATATTTGAGTATTTAAACATGAAGGTTGGGTTATACTATGGATAGAAATTTTGTGTTCTTTTCGATTATATTAATAAGCATTTTAATGTATGAACTTTTTATAATGCATGAATTCTTCCAAGTTATAATATATTATTTGAAAACTTGATTTAAAATGGTTTCATAATATTCCACATACAAGTACTATAATTTACCCACACCTTAAAAGTTTTTCCTTATAAGTAATGATTTGATGAACAACATACTAAAATCACCTTTGACTTCTACAGAGTTCATCCTTGGGTCATATCTGGAGCAGTTGGACAACTAAATCAAAGGTGTTTGTGTCAAACCAGAATCAAAAGTGGATTTTCCAATATACCATCACATTAGACTATGTTTTGATAGGAAAAGAGGAAAATGATATTATTGTACTGTATTTCTTAATTACTAGAAAAAGTTGGGATTTTTTTTCCATAACCTTATTATTTTTACTTCCTCACATTTTCATTTTCATGTTTTTAGTAAATTTCCTAAAGAAATTTAAAAAGTTTTCCTTCTATTTTAAATGACATTTATATATTAAAGGTATTAGCTATTGTCTGGAATGTGTATTTTAAACTTTTTTTCTAGCTTGTTTTGCTATCTAATTTTCTTAGAGGCGTATAGAAATTTTAATATATTTCTTTTCTTTTATTAAAAATGACAAAAATTTTCACAATCAAATAATAAGGATAACAAGTTAATATACTGTGCATTATTATCCTCAAAGTACTCAGTACAAGACATAAACCAAAAAGATTATTACAAAAAAAGATAACACAAACTTTGTTTTCAGTGAACTAAGACAAACTATAAGTGAAACAAATTAACATATATGTTTAAGTATTTCTGAAACATCATATTACAGGGATACATGCACACTCATGTTTATAGCAGCACAATTTAATATACTTTAAAATCTAGAAGTTTTTGAGAAACTTTTCTTTCCAATTACATTTTTATTTACAATCTAATTGTCTGGCTCCAAATAATGTTTATGCCCCTTTGTAGATTTACAAGTTTTAAAATTATATTTTGCATATAGACTTTTGACTTGACAGTTTACTTTTAGCTTCTTATGTGAAATAAGGATTTACTTTTATTTTTCTTCCGTGATTGTTTTTTTTTTCCTTTAAGCCTTTGTGGACAATGATGTTTTCTGGTTATCTAAAGAATCTGGGGCCAGGGATTTAGCTCAGCAGTTCGGTGGCCTGCCTCGCAGCACAAGGGCCCGAGTTCAATCCCCGGTACCAAAAAAAAAAAGAAAAACAGTATCTGTATTGTTATATGTGACAATACAGAGGGTTGCATTCAGGATCTTCACACTGACTGCATCTCCAGCCCTTTCAGTGAATTAACTAACTAGTTAGTCAATTAATTAACTTTTTGAGACAGGATCTCATTAAGTTGGCCAGGCTGGATTCAAACTCGCGGTCCTCTTGTCACAGGCTCCCATGCCACTGAGATTACACGGCTGCCCCCAGCACCGGCTACACGACACTGTCGTCCATCTTCTACTGTTTTTTCAAAGTGAATTGGAGCCATAGTAGATCCCCCTCCTGTTTCATACATTTCAGAATTAGTTTCTAGATCTTTACTTTGTAATTATCCCTCCCCAAAATTTATAGAAAAACAAACACTGAATATAATTTTGGATTTTGAGTTTATGAAATATGTCATGTTCTGAGCCAGTGTGAAGGATCTGTGAAAGCCCACAGCCCCATCTGTCCAAATATGAAGAAGCCATACTCAAGATTTGTAGGGCAAGTGATAGATGACATTTGCTAGTTTTTATTGAGTTCATACAAAAATGGCTTATAAAATGATGAAGCTATAATAATGACCATCCCATTCAAAAAAATATGCTATTATGAACTTATGTTCATTTATAAAGTAATTTGTAATTTAACATATTCATCTGGTTTTTATGTAGGAATGGTAATTTTTGTTATTTGATAGTGTACAATCTACAATCAATATGTTAACAAATCTATCTTCAATAATAATGAATTCAAATCTGATAGACTACAAAATAACTGTTAATATTGAGTATTTGGAATTTTGCATCTGTAGGTTAGCCTGATAATTGCATATGAAAGGCCAATGCCACAATTGTATAGAAAATAAATAAAATGTATAGAAAATAAAAATCTCAACTCATTTTTGAACAAAAACTTTATTTCTATTTTTTTATTTTCTCGCGTTTTTTTTTTCTTTTCCCTTATTTCCTTTCCCCTACCCTTCCCACTTCCCCTACACCTTTAGCCCTTTTCTTCCTATTACACATTGTCAATTATACCATTAGGATCTTATTTACAATTATAGGTTTTCACACCACAGAAACTATTCGATATTTACACGTGACTTATTTATTTCACTTAAAAGTATAACCTCAATACCACATCAACTCATTTTTATAGCACATGTCTATATATCTTGCTACCACTAGAAGGCAGCAAAACAATACATATTTCTTTTGCGTTTAGATTTCACTGTAGTTTCATTTTATTTGATTTAATTTTATATGCTAAAGTATTTTATTAGGGTACCTAGAATTATACTTAAAATTTCTCCTACTTACATTATAATGAATTAGAAAACATATTACAGAGATATATTTCAGTATGAAACAAAAATATTAAAAATATAAAGTATACTTTCTTCCAAAAATACTTAGTCAAGCCTGTGTTCATTCACTTTTGTGATTCAGTATTGAAAGGTATACAGGTATTAATCATGCTTGCAAACAAATGGTATAAATGATTAATGGTATTGCACAAACATTCCTCTGCATTTCTTCAGAAATAGTTAAGCTTTTTCAGAAGAAAATGGTATTTTGAATTAAAGGGCACTTTATTGTGTTAAATACTGAAAATGTAGTTAGCATAAATGAATAAAATTTGAAAAAGATGTGCCTTAGGTGAAATTAATTTAAAGTACAACATTTCTCAAATTTTAAGTCTTTGCTATTTTACAAATCATGTTAGGATTCTAATCTCATCTCTAATCTAAGCTTGGTGAACTGCTTATATTCTCCAAGGTGTACAGTCATTAAAATACATATTTATATGCGCATGCACTGTGGAAATAAAAAGGAAGCATGAAAATTGCAATGTACATGAATTACTCACTATTAAACTAACTGCTCACATTATTTCTTTTCAAGGCTGGGGTGGCAAACATAAAGCGAGGCGTGATCCAAGTGGACAAATACACTCCCTGTCCTAGTTCAGACCAGGGTCTAGCTGACTTTAAAAATTTCTAAATTTTAAATCAAGGCCCCTCCATGGCTATGGAGATGATTAAAAGCCCGTCTTGTATGATATGTGCAGAATATCAGCTTTGTGAGATATTTAAGTGGTACATGCCTCTATGTAAAAAAATATGTAGAGACCTAGGGGTGCAGCTTAGTGGGATGTAGCACATGTTAGGCTCTAGATTCAATCCCTAGCACCAAAACAACTAAAGAAAAAAAAAAAAAAGCAAAGCAAAGCAAAGCAAAACACAACATTGGAACAGCTGAGTTATACCCAGTATCTCACCAAAAAGTATTGCCAAATCCTTCGAAGGCTGAATGCCATACACAAATGAGTTTGGGAAGATAATACTGCACAAGGGAGAACTGGGCTTAACTGAGAAACAATAACTGTTATGAGATTAGATGCGCACTGACCCAATTCCTACTCTATGGTTAAAGAATATCCTCTGCAGTCTGACTGTCCGATGGGGGGAACCCATATTTTCTGTCATTAATTCCATGACTTTGGAAAAGTTACTTACTCTCTGAAAATGTCAGCCATCTGATACATAAAATAAGAATAAAATAGCAGGACTAACTTTATTGTGCTGTAGATTGATGCATCTAAGTCTTGTGGGGCCCAATACCAAACATTCAGTAAATGAAAATTGTTTTTGTTCAAATTCATTTGTAGTATTTATTGTAGTTTAGCTTCATTTCTTCCTAGATATTACTTCACTTTTATTGAAAATTTAAATCGATGGAAAGAAGCCAATATTTGACTGCAGTTAAGGTATATGCTTTTTAACTGAGTGCTTTTCCTTCCCCCAGGATACATCTTGATTTATCTTTCCTTTTTCCCCCCTGGTACTGGGAAATAAACACAGGACCTTGCACTTGTGAAGCAGGCATGGTACCACTGAGCTAAATCCCCAGTCCCTTTCTTAGTTTATCTTTATAGGAACAATGAGAAAATAAACTGATGTGATCAAAGTTTATCCCTATGTTGGGTGAATGTCAACTGGCTAGGTTTATTCTTATAAAAATAATAATAAAGAAGAAAAGGAGAAGAGTCTGTGCGGGACAATCAGAATTCCTTGGCAAGTAGGCACTGGAGGAAAAAAATATTAGATACTTCTAAATGAATCTGTGCTCATTGATACTGATTCTACTGATCTTGGATATTTTATTCTAACACCACTACTCAGCGTAGTGGGAAAGAATGACTCATCTCTAAAATTTAATCTTTGGGTACATTGGCCCAATCTCATAATACATTGACTATAAAAATGTGTATGTCATCATGATTACCTTTTTCTTGCAGAAAGAGCCCTCTCCTCCTTTGTGAAGCTCATATATAAAGCACAAAATTATTCTTCTCCTTAGGTAGAGTGGAATGAAAGTCCCATACTTAGACTGAAGAGTACATAGCATGGCTAACTGAATAATTATTCCATAGTTGATATGACGAGATTTCAGAAGTGTTAGCAATTGAAAATATGGGAGGAAGAACTATCTAGGGGGGCAATAAAAGATTTGTGGTCTGTTACCTACAATATTATTTTAAAACTGTGGAATGTATTTTTCTCAATTTTAACTAGATTTTAAGTTTATACCTAAAACATTTTCCTTGATGGAAATTTTTCATTAAAATAGTTTTTACAACTCATTGTTTGGTAAAAGCTATAAAGTTTTTCTTTAAATTTAAAAAGTTTTAGGAAAAGATATAATAATAATTCATGACAAATAGAATAATAATTGTTAATGTGCATTTAAAGGCTTTTATATAAATTATAGAAAAATTTAGATTATGAGGATATAATCCATCAGGTTTAAATGCTAAATAATAAGATAATTTGATCTTTTATTAAAGAATGTAATTTGGTTTTTATTTTTCCTATATTTATATTCTTTCTTTCATTTTGCAGAACTTGGAATCAATTTTGATCACATATGGCAAAAAACCTTGACGGTGTTAAACCCAATGAAGCCAGCAGATGGCAGCATTATGAACGAAACGGACCTCACTGGGCCCTTCCTTTTCAGTGTAGCCCTGGGAGCCAGCCTGCTTCTGGTAACGTGCAGCAACCGACATTAGATTTTAAACTTGTCCCTGGCAGGGCCAGTTCTGAAGAGAGCTTTGTAATTAGAGAAGAAATAAATAAAAATGATAAACGTGGCAGGAGAAGTAGTATGAGAAATTAAGATTCTAGGAAAAGCCCTTAAAATAGTGTTTCACTTCTCCCTCTTCCAGCCACACCGTTCCCATAAAAACCATTTTTACGAATATGGCTACAATTTTCAAAAGTAGTCTAAATTATATTTTCAACTAAATAAACTTTCACTTTCTGTTTGTCGATCTTTTGAAATACCATCAAAATATAGATAGCGCTGTAGTTTCTGTATGGTGCTGCAAACCACAATCACGTCGTATCTGTCTAGTAGAATAGTAGAACGGTAACAATAACATTTTACTGATAACATCTTATTCTGTCTCTGTGCTACAGCAAATGAAAACATTCTGTAAATCAAACACTATCAATTAGTGTGTTAATTTAGTCTCTAACTTCCTTTCTTAGGTCTTTTCACAGTAATTTGATAATCTTGGATTAAACTGCCAAGCCAATTAATCAAATAGTCAGAAACAATCAATTTAACATATAAATTCATCTTTCTTTTAGGCAGGCAGTGGAACCACTGAGCTAAATCCCCAGCCCCAAAGTCCTGAGATTGATCCCCAGTACAAATAAAAAAAATTATCTTGAATGTGTAATGTTAGCTGGAGTTAGTTAAATATTCTCTTCTGTTTTAAATACCAAGAAATATAGATTAAAAAATCTTAACTACCACCAAATGTTATGTTGAACTTTTTGACTTCATGTTTCTATGCCTTCAATTTCTTTGTTTTCTTCAAGACAAGAAGTTTATTTGAGTGAATCAAGTTGCTTTTAGTTGTGAAATTAAGGGGGATATGTAAAAATATGTATTTTATGAATGTTGTATACAAATATTATCACTTTCATTTTCCAATACATATTATAATTTCAGAGTTGATTCTGATACATATAGACCAATAACAATCCTAAAACTCCAACTGGATATTTATTGAAATGTAATTTAACTCAGAATCCATTGGACATTAGGTTAACTCTACACTGGAATCTATAATTTCTTGGGCACCAGGCATCATACTAGTGAAAGCAAAATTAAATCTAGAACTAATATCCAATTCTGTTAATTATGTCTGCAAATGGAAGATTCATAATCACATACTCATCATTTTTGTGACTTTTGTTGACATAGGTACAATGCTAGTGACCTTTCTTTGGGTTATAAGAAGCAAATCAAAATAAACAACTTGAAGCAGTCAACATAAATTTAATTTTATTTCTTCTTTCCTTCCTTTGTTAGAGTCTTGTGACTGTGGGAAAATATCTGCGATATTCATCTCAGCAAGAGACAAGGTTTATTTTCGCTCACATTTTCAGAGGTTTTAGTCCATGGTCCATCAGCACTGTTGCCCTTGGGGTTGTGGAGAAACAGTGTATAAATGGAGGAATCACATGATGGGTAGAGCTGCTCACCTCATGGCAGTCTGGAAGCAAGAGAGAGATAGGAAGTGGCCAGGGTCCCCATATTCCCTTTCAGGGCCTGACTTTCATGACCTACCCAAATTTCTCCCCCTCTTGAAAGAACCCCACCTCTTGAAAGTTCTACCACCTCCCAACAGTCACAGGCTGGCAATCAAATCATTAAAACATATGCCACTAAGGGGATTTTATCCAAACCACAGGAGCTCCCAAATCATTTTCAGCCCCACGTCAAGGTAGCAAGTGGTTTAAACTACTCTGCAGTTTAACTTTTCTGGTAGTGTTATAGTTGTTTTCAGGAAAAACAATATGCATGGGCCATATAGACTCTCTAAATATTTGACCTTAATAAAATGAAACATTTATTTTCTGTTTCAAACTTTGTCAGAACTTGAAACTTTTTTAAAATGGCAGTATCAGTGCTATGACTTGTAAATCTTCAGGACTAACTTAAATTTTTATTCCTTTATTGAATCATTCAGTTATTCAACAAACATGGGGAGGAAAAATAATCTCTTTTTGCCTTGCAAACCTTAAAATAAAAAGCATATCCAGGGCAATATATTATGCTTGCCCTGCCCTAGGTGGTGTAGTCAGAATGTTTTCAAGGCTGAAGTTCATATTACAGGAGGTATTTTTACCAAAAGGAAATAGTATTAAATTGATTCTGAAATGATCTCTAGTTTGTTGTCATCCTGATTTCCACTCCATGTTTTCTGAGCTTTCCAATTGTTTTCTTTGCCTTCTTTCAGGCAGGAAAAGTTCAGTTTGGTTGCGTGTATGGCATGAGTGCCATAGGCTGCCTTGGGATTCATGCCTTACTGAACTTGATGAGCTCCGCAGGAGTGTCGTATGGCTGTGTGGCCAGTGTGCTGGGCTACTGCCTGCTCCCCATGGTCATCCTGTCCAGCTGTGCCGTCTTCTGCTCATTGCAGTAAGTAGCTGTGAGCACTGACTGACCTCACATGCACAGGCATTACCGCAGCTTGCCAGACCAAGACAAAAGGCACCTTTACTCTTTCTCAGTGTTTTGGCAAAAGAATCGGGAAACTATGTCTATTAAAGGCTACACACGGATTCAGAAATGTAGGTCAGTTTTGGCTTGGGTGCTATTCCTATTTCCATGATTTAAAAAATAAACTAAGACAAGTGATGTTTAAAACTGGCACTTTTATGGTGTCACGTTCTTCGGTGTGAACTATTGTCGTGGGCAATGTAACAACTACAGAAAATGCACTGATTTGATTTTTGGAAGAGTAAATCCTGCAGGATGTTGACACATTGCTTCGGCTGCAGGCGCTCTGCCTTCTAGGCCGGAAACAACTGTTCTGTCTTAGCTCGCTCCTTGCAGTGTAGAATTCCCAGGAAACTTGCTGAGTAGATTAATTCTAGAGAATTTTGTAGCATACATGTTCATTCAATGCATTTTAAAAATTACTTCTTCTTTCACTTAGGCTATTGATAGTTGAAGTTCAAAATTAAATAAAGGTACAGTAGATAGATATTTCTGCAGCGCACTCTCCAGGGTGTATGCCTCTCACTACCACTTTACTTAGGGAGACGAGTGATTACATTGATCATTGTCACCTGCCATGTTCTCAACCCACTTGGAAATAAATATTTTCTTCCAGTACTCATTCTTCTATGTCCAAAAGAAACTTGATTTACATTTTATCCTTAGGTAATATAATTCTTAGGTTACAATCCTACATTGGGTAGAATAGTATACAAAAAAATTATCAATACATAGATTAAATCTTTAAAAATGCATTTATTTTCATCACAAGTGATTTTTTATAACTTTATTGAAGATGACTTAGAGGTGCAGCTTTTGTTTTGTTATGGTCTCAAGAGTATTCCTTTAAAATTGAGACCATATCAAACCACTCTTACGTTAACTGTGAGTCCATATTTAATAAAGATCTGCCAGAATGACACCCACTAATCAGAATAAACAATATGCACTAATAAAACACACATGAAGGAAGAATTTGACAGGGACTGGAAACCTTGAATCTGTAAATATAACAGGAATTGCATGTGTTGAGTCTTATCCATGGATATGTCCACATTTCACATGTTACATTCTTCAGAGAGCTGTTTGCTTCACCAGGGTGTTCAACACAAAAATCTGATATGTTAGCATACAGTTTGGTTCTGTATTTTCTAGTATGTTGATTGATTTTGCAAAAGAATAATATTATGATCTACCATTTAATATTCTAAATTTTAAGCATTTTCAGTAAATTTGAGATTTGGAACATCATAAATGACTTCAGCACATGCGGAGAAAGTAAAAACTAAAAATCTTGGGTCTGAGAAATCACCAGAAGTTTGGACTTTTTCATTAGATTTTTAAATTTTTATTTATTTATTTATTTTTGGTACTGGGGATTGAACTTGGGACCTTGTGCTTGAAAGGCAGGTGCAGAAACCACTGAGCCAAATCCCCAGCCCAAAAGTACTATTTTTTGAGGGAGTACCTTGCACTTGCAAGGCAGGCAGTGTAACCACTGATCTAAATCCTCAGCCCTTCATTAGATTTTCATTCTAAAGCTATAAAGGACAATGTATTTCATCACTGTCACAAAACACCTGAGAAAATCAACATATATGGTATAATAAAAAATATAGTGAATGTCTCTGCCAACTGCTATCTGACAGAAAGGCAGGGGTCTTCAACACTAGAAGTGGTGCATCGAACCTCAGTCATGGCTAGTTTCAACTTTACAGTCAAACTAGGATCAAATGAGGCTGTGTAGTTTGTTGGTAGAAAGAGCACTATGCTAGGAGTTAAGAGGTCCTCACTTAAGTTTATCAAATCATTTCCTTGCTTTAAAGCTGAACAATGAATAACTCCTGAGGTCTCTCCAATCTCTTATGTCTTGTGTTTTTTTAAAAATTATCAATGGATTTTATTTTACACATAAGGAAAGAAATTTATTTTTACCATCCATGCCTCCCTTTTTATTCTCCAATTGTGAGATTTAACTGCTTTGTTTGTTTGTTTGTTTTTGTACTTGACATTGAACTCAGGTCCTTGCGCTTCCAAAGCAAGAGGCAGAACCACTGAGCTAAATCTCCGGCAGTATGTTTATTTGTTTTTAAAGAATAGATTGTTTCCTCATTTAATTTTTTGATGATACCCATTTGAGAAAAGCCCATTCCAGAATGGATGGATTAGAAAATTTTGAAGTATACACATTAGCATATGCAGTGATCATTAAGGGATGCATTGGAAGGCCATGCAGGTGATCTGTTCTCCCCTATTCCTTGTATTCACTACCTGAGTTTTGCTCTCATACAAAATCTGTGGTGTCAATGGAGGAAGGAGGGAGAACTAGTCACTCTGATAGAACATAACTCTGCTTACCTCTCTTCTCCTGCTATGGGTCAATTTATGAAGACAGTAGACAAAAGAAAATCTGTGGCCAAAAGAGAAGACTCTAAATGCACTACACAAGATAATTTCAGGAGTTGAGATTTGAATATTATATAAAATGAGAGTGACTGGTTAATGTCATGTTTCGACTAATTCTAGTTGTACTGAAATATCAAATGCTTGCCTTTCTGGTGAAAATGACTCAAAATTTTCTAACTGGTCAAGGCCTTTTTAGTTCATGTATGAGTGCCCTCGTTTTACATCTGAACATTTCATTTTACACCAAAGACACTTCAGAGGCAACTCTGACTCAGACATCCTGTTTTCTCAGAATGTAAGGGAACCATCTCCTTTGTGTTTGCTGCAGGGGCACCCTGGGGACCCTGACAGTGTTGATCTTCATCGGCTGGTGCAGTCTCTCCGCTTCCAAGATCTTCATTTCAGCCTTGGACATGGAAGGACAGCAGCTTCTCATTGCCTATCCTTGTGCCTTACTTTATGGACTCTTTGCCCTTCTAACAGTTTTCTGATGAGTGTTTGAGATGGCTTTGAGAGATGCTATTTGTTTGCTGTTCAATTTACTTTGAAGTGTATTAGCATTCGAGTTTGGTTATATGATTTCTGTTTTATTACCACTGAGAGAATAATAAGCAGAGAGAGAAAACACTTACGGATGGTGCGGTAATGGTCTGCTTCCTTTGAACCAAATTTTGCTTTTCCGTTTGGCACATTACAACACTTTTAAATATTTTCAAATAAAAAGGATATATTACTACACTGATGAACATTGCTTTTCTCAATAGATGTGCGTCTGGGAAATTATAAGTAAATGAAACCTTATGTTTACCATTTAAAAGAAATCTACAGTAAGTCTCTTGAAAGACTTTTAAGACTGCTCAAACTGTGGGGATGTGGTTAAAGAATTGCATATTCAGCCCTTTGAGAGCTCTCATGGGTGTATTATGTAAGGTTTTTATTTATCCAGTCAAAGAACCTCCTGCCCTTCAGTTCATATACTTTAACAATTTTTCTTAAATCCTATTTAAATAATGTGTTGGTGCATCAATTTTTTAAGCTCTCATTTTCTTCTTAGTTGGTTCAGGGCATGGCCTTAGCCAATCCCCTTCCCCTCTGAACATCTCTCTCCTCCCTTCATCTCTCAGGCCCCTTTCCTTTTCCAAAAGTGTTCTTTTTGCCACAGTACATAGACCCAGGTGTGGTCACTCTATCCTATTATTTTATACCTAGGGGAATTATTTAAAACATGCTGGAACTACATTATCTGAAATTATTTATTTACTCCTTCACTTTCTCTCTTCCCTTTCTTAAGATAAACACCCTGAAGCCATAGCTGAAGCTCTAATCTGTATACTGTAATTTCTTGATAAAAATGGGAGATTAATATATATTTACAAAGTGAAAGAATGAAAAAATAAATGAGCACGACAGTTACTAAACATTGGTCACTGTAGGGAACATGATAATTGCAGTTGTGAATCTTTGGGAATGGGGAAAAATAGCCAGTAAACATGAGCAGGATAATTACAAAAATAAGAAAATGCTGAGTGTGTAAAAAAACTGAGAACTGCAGTATGCTTGATTTTTGTAGTTTAATAACCATTAATGGAACTGTTAATTAAACATGGAATTTTCTTTTGGTTCTTAATTTTTCTATTTGGAATGTGATCGTTCTGCTGACATTCTTTATATAAAGAGGATGAAATTAGAATGTCACTTATTGTAATTATTTCTCTACAAAGTTATCATATTAATTAGAGATACACTGTATTACAAGGCAGGTGGCAACACCACTGAGCTAAATCCCCAGCCAAAAATATGTGATGTACCTAAAATTTTACCTTTTGAAGTAGTGCTTTTATTTAAAAATTTATAGGTAAAATTTTCTCTGAATTATGTATAAAAACAATCATACACATAAAAAAATTCAATATATACCATGAAACATTGTAACATAAACATCATGTAAAAAAGTACAGTGGTACCTTGGTTCACAAAATTAATTAGTTTCAGGATACTGAGGAAGACATATACATTTGTTTTCTTCACCTGATGTGGAGTTTGCAGACAGAATTTGTCATACACCAAGGTACTACTGTATTAAATATCTCCATAACAGTAAGAAATCAGAATAAATTCCATTTAATAATGCTTTTTTATATATAATGATATTTGTATTTTTCCAAAGAATAAATATTTCGAACATCCATGAAACATTTATAGTAATTAATATTCCATAATAAAAGTTAGATTCTAAGGCAGAATTAAGCAGATTTCAAACACTTACTAAAATTACAATTAAACTAGAAATTGGTAAGAAAGGCATCTTAAAACAAATTTTAAAAACTAAAAAGTTAAAGCTCAACCTCTACAATGCTTGAACAAACAATATAAATTATCAGTGATTCACCATTTAGAAAACAGCATCAATGAGAATATCTCATCACTTACTTCACAAAGGAAAACTAAAGTTGTCTTTTGAAACAAATTAATAATATGGATTGGTTTCACTTTTACTAAATAAGCACTATATTTATATCCCAGATGTGCAGCTCAAATTTTATATGACAAATTTTTATATGATAATTTTTTGGATATGTAAGTATGATAAAAAATTATGCATTTTCAAGTCAGTGAACTTTTTTTCCCTTATTGTATTTATTGGTGCATTTTAGATATACAGTAGAGTTACATTCATCATTGGTATCTTGTACCTTTACATGACAGTCTTTCCATTTAATAACTCTTAATGACAGGATTTTGACATACCTAAGAGTGTCGAGAATAAAAATAGATGATTTATATGAAAATATCTTTTTCTTTTTTTTTGGCACCGGGGATCGAACTTGGTCCCTTTGCTTGCAAGGTAAGCAGCAGAACCACTGAGCCAAATCCCTGGCCTGAAAATATCTATCTATATATATCTATATATATCTATATCTATATATATCTATATCTATATATCTATATCTATATCTATATC